ATTTATATATACTACATGCAAACAAAAGTTCAGACACTCATTTTATGCAGCGACCCCCTCATAATTTACTGAGAGCTTTGTGAAATAACACTAGCCGTCTCCTGTCTTCTGGGAGACAGGAAACTGGCAGCTTTCTAACGGAACAGTAAGACCTTATTTCTTCTCATTCTGAAAGCAGCGTAATTCTCTTTCGAGCAGCTGTAGGTTATTTGCATCAAAGGAGAGGTCAAGATCATTGCAGGAACACGCAGCCCTTATTCAAACAGAAGAGGAGTGAGACAGAATATTTTACAGCTGCTGCTGCATCAGATGACACTGAATCAGGTATATCAAAGTTCATATTTCTATCTAGTAAATAGAAAGCAGAGATATGGGGGAGTACGCCATGCAACGTGTGCACAACTCGCCAAAAAGCATCCAAGACTGCATGCACTGTTCAGCGAGGTACCGCAAGTGTACCGTACTGTCTCTTGAGGGTGAATATGGACGTTGTGTGCTTTAAGGACACGCTGGGGTCATCACGCGACTCACTTCTGTCTTACAGTCCTTTGGGACTTGGAGCTGTCAAACAGCCCCCACAAAAGCTACAGTTCTAAGAGGGCTACATATGCACTGTACTGGGCGATACAGATGGGGGGAAAGAAAACAAATTTCACATTTTCTTAATTTGCCCTGTTCCTTGGTAAAGGTACATGCAAATATCACAGGATTTCCTGCACCATCCATTTTCCTCAAAGAATGAACCAATTTCATCCTTAAATGGATGGAAATCTACTATTAAATAAAACAAAACAAGTGGCTATTTCTGCCAGGATATTTCTCCTTTGCTAATCACAAAAGCATGCTTTACACTTTTGGATTTCCAGAGAGATGCAGAAAGACAGAAATTTTTAAATAGCAACAGGAACATCTAGATATTTACATACTTAAGTAGTTTAACTTCCTCATTGTGAAATCAAGGAAAATTCTGTAGATATAGCTCCCTAAAACTATACTCAAAATTAAGCTACTAGCCAACTACTGTAACAGTGTTAAATAGAAGCCAGTTGAGATGTCAAAATATAATTTAAATATTTAGAATATTTGGACCATAATAAAAATTATTAATAAAAATAGACACTGTCACAGTGGTATTTGAGACATCTTTCTGTCATAACGACTTGTGTACAGTCACCATAGAATGCATGGGTTGGAAAGGACCTGTAAATCCAGCCCAACCCCCCTGCAGGGAGCAGGGACATCTTTAGATCAGGTTGCTCAGAGCCCCATCCAGCCTGACCTTGAATGTCTCCAGGGATGGGGCCTCCACCACCTCTCTGGGCAACCTGTCCCAGTGTCTCACCACCCTCATTGTAAAAGACTTCTATATAGTCTAAATCTACCCTCTTTCAGTTTAAAACCATTACCCTTTGTCCTGTCACCACAGGTCCTGCTAAAAAGATTGTCCCCAGCTTTCCTGCAGGCCCCCTTTAGGCACTGGCAGGCCACTAGAAGGTCTCCCTGGAGCCCTCTCTTCTCCAGGCTGAACAGCCCCAAGCCTCTCATCAGCCTTTCTTCCCAGGAGAGGTGCTCCAGCCCTCTGATCATCGTTGGGACCCTCCTCTGGACCCGCTTCAACAGGTCCATGTCCTTCTTGTGTGGAGGACTCCAGAGCTGGATTCAGTACTCCAGGTGGGGTCTCACCAGAGCAGAGACAACTCTAATGAAAATATTCTAAGTGTGTACACTGCCAAACTAGATGCTCGTTTGAGCATCCTGTAAGCTATATAGAAAAAAAATATTACAAAGATTGTATTATAAAACAAACCATATCAAATGCAAAATAACTTCATTATAAACTATTATTGCTATTTTCATTTCAAATATTACAAAATTATTAAATATATACAAAAAAAACCTTCCCAGGATTTTGGTAATTAGCAGAACCTTTCCGTTTCTTTAATTGCTTCCATTAGAGTCATTTGTTTATTTTATTAACACCAGATGCGATAACACAATGCTAAAAATAAACATGCATTATACAACAAATTTATATTTTTCAAAAAAACGTTCATTACAATTAGCGAATGCACATGTAACTCCCCTCCACATTTAGTGAATTACTGTTTAAACAGAGAAGGGAAGGAAGAAGAAACCAAACTTAATGCTATTCAGCACCAGTAGGAAGTCAATAGACCTTTAACATTCCTTTATATCAAAAACATTTCATCTGTATCACTCAACGGGTAAAGTTTACAATATTGTCCCATTTGAAGATGTATCGATTTGTATTTACAATACTTTGTAGTCAATAAAACATTTCAACAATATTTAAAAATTGCTTAAATTCATAAAAGTATTGCAGAATTTATAACACTTATTTTACGTACATACAAGGAAGTCGATGTAAAACCATTGTGTTGGGTTTGTCTCTGGTGGGCTTCTGGTAGCAGGAGAGGGGCTACAGGGGCAGCTCTGGTAAGAAGCTTCTAGAAGTCCACTCGGCTCCAAGCAGGACCCGCCTCTGGCCAAAGCCGAGCCAGTCAGTGCCTCTGGGATAAATACATTAAAGAGAGGAAAGAGCTGCTGGGCAAGTTCTTTTGTTTTGGAGCAGAGGAGACAAAGGGGATGTGAGAGGAACAACCAAGCGGACTGTGCCAAGATCAGCGAAGAAGGAGAGCGCAAGGTGTGCCGGCCCAGATGCTGCTGCAGCCTGTGGTGTGACATCTGGCTGAGCCCCTGCAGCCCAGGGAGATGAACGATGGAGCAGAATCGCACCTGCAGTCCCTGGAGGACCCCATGCTGGAGCAGGGGACTGCATCCAAAGAAGGCCGTGACTCTGAGGGAAGCCCGCGCTGGAGCAGTCTGTGCTGGGAGGACTGCAGCCCGTGAAGAGACCTACGCTGGAGCAGTTTGTGAAGAACTGCAGCCTGTGGGAAGGACTCCTGTCGGAGAAGTTCGTGGGGGACTGCTGCCTGTGGGAAGGGCCCCACGCTGGAGCAGGGGAAGAGTGAGGACTCCTCCCCATGATGAACTGACCGCAGCCCCCATTCCCTGTGCTGCTGGCGGGGAGGAGGTAGGGAAATCGGGAGCCAAGATGAACGTGGGGAGAAGGGAGGGGTGGGCATGAAAGGTGTCTTTAAAGATTTGGTTGTTTCTCATTATCCTACTCTGATTTGATCGGTACATTACTGGTGGTGTTTAAATTAATTTGGCGTTGTTTCCCCCAGTCAATTCTGGTTTTTACGTGGGGCTTTAAGTAACGAGTGAGCCCTTTCTGTCCTTGTCTCGACCCTTGAGTCCTTTTATTTCCTCCCCATCCCAACCAGGGAGTCAGGTAGGAGTGAGCAGCAGCTCCACCGCGTTTAGCTGCCAGCTGAGTGGGCTTAAACCGTTACAGCTGCTCCTATTCACCGGAAGTATTCACCTGAAGAACTGATGGAGTCGGGAGCAATTTTAATGCAGTTTGCAAAACCCCGATTATTTGAAGGCAGCTATCATGGAACATTCAAAATCCTTAGTTGCTGTTTGCTTCTGAAAACTAAAGGTCCAGTAATAAAATGGAGTATGTAAACTAATGTGGTTTTGAGATCGGTAGAAAATATATTCCCACAGGCATAACATATCTAACAATTATAGTAATGATTTTGTAAAAAAAACGTTAAGCTGTAGTGATATCTGAACAGACAACTCGGTCACGGTCTTTGCGAGACCCACAGGTAGAGTCATCTTCAAACATCCGGTATTTTAGCAGCTCATTGTGTTTCCAGTTAAACTTCCTAAAATGCTAAAATACGACAACTGAACTTGTAAGACCTTCTTAGAATTTTAAAATTTAATTTATTTTGGCATCTAAAGCCTCTTGTAAAATGTCGCCAAGTAACATTGACTTCTGTAATCTAAGAGCCAATAATAAACCAAAAGTACGCACTGTGCTTTAATCTCAAATAATTAGGTACCCAAAATTAAGAAAAATAGAAAAGTAAAAAGAACAAAATAAAAAAATATTGCACAGCCACATTACCTAGAAAGTAAAGTTGATGTTAAAAAGCCCTAAGTGTGGATGATATAAATTATCTTCCATATAAAAAGTATAAATATCTCTTAAAATACAGCTGCAGCTATACTTTAATACCACGTATTATTTAATTCATCTGTTAATGAGGTAACAACCAAGTTTCTTACAATGCTTCTCTCTACTGAAAATATTTTAGGGCAGCAACAAGAAAGAATTTTTCTAAAAATATTTCTGAATCAAGAACAGCGATGTGTGCAGCTCTCCCTATGAGAGAATCTGCTGTATTGGGTAATGCATTAATTACATTATAACGAACCAAATTACATTCCTTATTTTGAAGAACTGGTAGAAGCAGGTTCTGGATCATTTCGGCATAAATTGGTCCTGCAGAGGAAAAGAAAAGTTGTACTGTGTGAATCACCGGAAACACATACAGTTCTTTGACCTTGAACTCAAAATGAATAAATTCTAGGTTAAGAGAGGTAATGATACGTGCTACACTGTCGTTCTGTTAAGATGGAATATACAGGAAGTTTGATTTCCCCAGAAATGCTGGAGAAAAAAATTCAAACTATGCATTTTAGTATTTGTACATTTATAGTCAGAATGTCCTCAACGGTATTAATTTATTACATTATTTAAGAGACATTTGTTAATATATAATGCTAGAATGTAGTCATGTTATGATATCTCAACAGTCAATATGACCAATCATCGCTGAAAATGGGAAAACTACCTCTTCTTTCAGTGCTAGTATTAAGCCTCAACTAAATACCGCCCATGTGCTTGGCACTATAACTTCATGTACTCAAAAATCCAAGATATTTGTGCTCCCTCTTCAAGGAGTAACACACCAGGAGCTGTGTTCCTCCAAACCCCACGCTGGTATTAGCATTTTACAACCATCACCCCTGGTCCCCAGAGGGGACTCAGCTGCTTGGGGAAGTTAAAAACGCCAAGGTTGAGATCAAAGATGTGCTCAACGTTTTTCAAACACATGTACTGGATATAACCCCAGCTGGGGAGATGGGCAAGCATGACTGAGAAAACTGTTTAGAGCAGATGAACAAGAGCAGATCCTTCAGAAGGATGCAGAGTTAGCTCCGAGAGCTGTAAGGGGATGGATCTCCTGGCCAATGAATAACCTGAATCGCAACTATGACATGAATGCTAAAAGCTGCACACGAGCAAGCCGTACAAAACTTCGTAGAAGTGGTGTGGGTGTGTGCTCAGGTGGGGGTGAATCGGACAAAGGTCCAGGAATGCAGGCAGAGACTGGATGAGCACCCAGCGATAACTGGGGAAGGCTCAGGTTTTATTAAAATATGAGGGGTTACCCTTCAGAATTTTAATAAAGCACTGGCCATCCGTGTAACTGTGCATCAGGCGGCCCCAGACATCCAAAAATAGTTTAAGAAACATTTGTTTGGTTGGCAGGGAGAAAATTTACAAGAAATACTGAGTGTAGCCACACTGGTATATGATGGAAGAGAAAGATGGAGGAACAGAAGGTGAAGACGAAGTTAAAGGAACAGGAGGTGAATTTGTAGGCAGCAGTGTTGGCAAAAACCCTGCAGAGTGGGGACAGAAGGGGGAGGATGGGATCACACTGACTTAGAGCTGAACGTCCCATAACAGGGGAGCAGCAGAGACACCGGGGGTAAAGTTGTGAATGTTGTTTCTGTAAGAGTCTGGCACACTTGCAATGGGACTGACCTCAGCACCCTCATATGAGGGGGCCACACAGACCAACGGGTCGATCCGATCAGCAACCCTGAGCAAGCTACTGGCAACTAGAAAAAAGACCAGGGTAGGTACTGATGAGGTACATCCTCTGGAAAGCAAAATCAGATCATGAGGGACATAAAACAGGGAAAATGGAAGGCAAAAAAAGAATTGTTGGTAGACACTTATGCAACCTTATCCCTTCTAAATTACATACCCAAAGGGTCTCGTAAAAAAGTTTTGCTACAGGGTGTAGCGGGGGAAGCAATGAGAACTCTGACTAAATTTTTGTTAAGTGACTATTAGAAATCAGAGCATATGGGGAAAATCTGCACTAGGTGAAGACTCTGATGTGTCTCTTGGGAAGAAACCTGTTGCAGGCTTTGGATAGGGAAATCAGGTCAGCACCAGAAGAGACAGATTATTATGGGGATATATGTTAAAAAGGAAAAGAGAAAGGAAAGTGTAACCAGAAATGAATTTGTAGTACCCTCAGAACTGAAGGAAGTTCCAAAAATATTTTGGAGCTGGACAAGTACAGGTGTAGGGTTATTAAAAGCAGTGTGAACTGTGCAAATAAAAAAACAAGGGGGGGGTGTTCTACTAGCAGTGAAGCAGTATCCCATCCCAAGTCAAGCATGCCCCAGTATTCCAACCAAACTGACGGTTTATGAGGGATGGTAATCAATGAGAATGTGAATCCCCGAATAATACCCCCAATACTGCCTGTTACCAAAACAGAATTGATGAGGAGGATAATCTGGAGTATAGATCTGTATAGGACTTAAGGAAAATCAATTAGCATGTGATAGGTCCTTTCCAACCCAAGGCATTCTATGATTCTATGATAGCACCACATCCTGTGGTACCAGATCTGTCAACCATTTTATTACAAATTCCACATTGGGCAAAAAATTTTACAGTTATAGATTTAACTGCTGCATTTCTCAGTATACTGTTCAAAGTGGAAAGCTGACTACTATTTGCTCTCACTTGGGAAGGGAAACAGTTAATTTGGACAAAACTGCCACAGGGCTTTGTGGGATCACCAACTATATTCTCATGAATATTGAAAACAGATTTGGAAGAGACACAACCACTGAGACATTCAGTATCAGTGCTGCATTTAGAAGATTTGCTGATAGTGAGTAATTCCAAAGGTAACAGTTTGGTAGACACTGTACACTTATGTACAAAATTGGCAGAAAAGGGAGACCATGCATTGCCATCTAAGCTGTGCCAAACAGTAGTAAAATACTGGAGATTTATCCTAAAAGAAGGGCAGAGGTTAATAGATCCAGAGAGAACTGAAGCAATCATTAACCTACCCCAGCCAGTAACAAAAAAGCAGTTAAGTGGGGCTTTAGGACAAGTAGGATTCTGTAGACCGTGTATTCCATGACTCTGGGAGTTAATTAAGCCCTTAACTGAAGTCACAAGGCAGGAAGAATTAGAACCCCTGGTGTGGGGCCCAGGCAGAAGGCGGGCATTTGAAACTGTAAAGAGAGCTTTAATGACTGCTCTGGCATTATGCTTACCAGATTACACTAAGCCTTTAATTTGCATACTCATGAGAGAAAAGAGAGTAGCCAGCGGCATGATTATGCAGAAACTGGGACCACATCAGAGGCCTGTAGCATATTACTCAGTTAAGTCAGATCCTGTTTACAAATGGCACTACTCACCGTCTAAAGAGCAATGGCAGCAGCAGCCAAGATAGTAGAAAAAAAGCCATCCTTTGATTTTTAGGGCACCAGTTAAATGTATTTGTGCCAGATGAGGTGGAAATATTATTGAAATGATATGCAAATCAGGACTTATAACCACAACAAGCTCACAGGTATGAACTTATTTTATTGATGGCAGATAACAGAATTTTAGAGCCTTTTAATACCTTGAGGACGCAATACCTTGAGGATGGCCGCCCACACCACAGAATTGTTTAGGTTGGAAAAGACCTTTAAGATCACAAAGTCCAACCATTAACTTGGCAATGCCAGGCCCACTACTTATCAATGTCCCCAAGCACCACACCTATACGTCTTTTTAACTACCTCCAGGGATGAGGTCTCAACCACTTCCCTGTGCAGCCTGTTCCAATGCTTTACAGACTTCTCCATGAATTTTTTCCTCGTATCCGATCTAAACCTCCTCTGGCACAACTTGAAGTCATTTCTTCTCATTCTATTGCTTGTTACTTGGGAGAAAAGACAACACCCACCTCACTAAGCCCTCCTTTCAGGTAGCTATAGAGAGCAATACCGTCTCCCCTCAGCTGCTCCTCATAAGACTTGTGCTCTAGACCCGGCGCCAGCTTTGTTGCCCTTCTTTGGACACGATGCAGCACCTCAATGTCTTTCTTATAAAAAAAAGGGACACAAGACTTGAGGTGTGACCTCATCAGTGTCGAGTACAGGGGCACAATCACTTCCCTGCTCCTGCTGGTGACACCACTCCTGATACAGGCCAGGATGCCGTTGGCCTTCTTGGCCACCTGGGCACACTGCTGGCTCATGTTAAGCCGGTTGTCCACCAATTCCTCCAGGTCCCTTTCTGCCAGGCAGCTCTCCAGCCACTCTTCCCCAAGCCTGTAGCGCTGCCTGGGGTTGTTGTGACCGAAGTGCAGGATCTGGCTCTTGGCACCTCATAACTTCACACAACTGACCTCAGCCCATCAATCCAGCCCGTCCAGGTCCTTTTGAAGAGCCTTCCTATCCCACAGCAGATCAACACTCAATGTTGATGTGATGGGCATCACATTTGATAAGCTCCAGTCCACTGGGACCTCCTCAGCCAGGACTGCTCATAAAAGATGCAAAGTGGCTTTGTGAGCACTTCTGCCAGCTCCTTCAGTACCCTTGGGTGGATCCCATTTGGCCCCATAGACTTGTGTGCATCTAAGTGGAGCAGCAGGTCATTAATCATTTCCCCATGGATTGTGGGAGCTTCATTCTGCTCCCTGTCTTTGTGTTCCAGCTCAGGGGGCTGAGCACCCAGAGAACAACTAGTCTTATTAATAAGACCAAGGCAAAGAAGGCATTAAGTGTCTCAGGCTTTTCCTCATCCTTTGTCACTATGATTTCCCCTGCATCCAGTAAAGGATGCAGGGGATCCTTAGCCCTCCTATTCTTGCTGATGGAGTTACAGAAACATTTTGGTCTCTTACAGGAGTGGCCAAATTAAGTTCTAGTTGGGCTTTGGCCTTTGGTGTAACCCCACAACATCCTTGTAGTGCTCCTGAGTTGCCTTCTTCCAAAGGTCATAAACTCTCCTTTTTTTCCCCACCGAGTTCCAGACAAAGCTCTCTGTTCAGCCAGGCTGGTCTTCTCCCCTGCCAGATCATTTTCTTTGGCACATGGGGACAGGCTGCTCCTGTGCCTTTAAGACTTCCTTCTTTAAGAATGTCCAGCTTTCCTGGACTCCTTTGCCTTCAGGATTGCTATGACCGTGAGAAAGGCATTATGACTACCAGTAAACTGCAAAAGGATTTAAAAGATGAGCCCATGTTAAACCCTGATTTAACTTTATATGTGAGTGGCTCCTGGTATTACCAGGATGGGAAGCACGTGATGATATGCAGTGGTGGATGATGAACCAGTGAGAGAATCATAGAATCATAGAATTGTCAGGCTTGGCAGGGGCCTTCCAGATCATCTAGTTCCAACCCCCCCGTCATGGGCAGGGACATCCCCCACTAGATCAGGCTGCTCAGAGCCCCATCCAGCCTGGCCTTAAAAGCTTTCAAGGATGGGACTTCTACCACCTCTCAAGAGTTTTACCAGCAAAGAACAGCTGTGCAAGGAGCAGAACTGACAGTCCTAACACAAGTGGAAAAACAAGGGAAAAAAAAAAGCAAGTAAATATTTATACAGACTCCCAATAAGCTTTTGGAGTGTGTCATGCTACAGCAATGCTGTGGAAGGAGAAGATTTCTGACTGCTGTAGGAAAAGAAGTGGCAAACGGAAATGAGATAAGGAAACTACTAGAGGCTGTGCATTTGCCAGAACAAATATCAGTGGTACACTGCGGGGCCCATACCCTGGAAGATAATCCGGTCGCACGGGGAAATGCCTTAGCTCTGCTGCAGTGAAAGCAGCAGCCAGACAACAGGAAAAGACTTCTGCATTCATCATTCACAAATGAAAAAGGCAGAAGAGGAAACAGTCTGAACCTATCACTCTCACTTAAGAACTACGGCTGCTCTAAAATTGGAACCAGGATTTAACTGCAGCAGAAAACTCGCACACCACCGGCAGATTCACTGCAGAACCCCTAACCTTGCATGAGAATTCAACAGCAGCAAAGTGAAACATAATCTAATACTTAAGAATTGTACATGGATTGACCCTTGCTTTGAGCTAAAGTGTAACCAGGGAATAACTATTTTTATTATTTGTGTCTTTTGTTCTTACTATTAAGTAAGCATGAAAACCTAAATTTTAAAAACAAGTCGACTCAAGTGGCGGAAAATTGTCAAAAATAAAAGGAAGACAATCTACACAGGCTATGGGGGAATAGCTGTTCCAGTCCCTAGGAAACTGCCAAGAATCCTCTCCAAGAAGGAGTTCAGAAAGCAAGTGCATCCAGTCTGAACTGGTGGGAGAATCTTCCCTGACTCTTCTATAACATCATCCCACCTAACTTTCAGCAAAGTCTATAGCTAGAAATTTATTCACTCATCTTCTTCTGCATATAATAGAACAGGACAGATCCAGAAAGCAATTCAGCTCCCACATGTATTTTCTCTGTTACTACAAAGTAAGCCCCGAATGTCTAAACACACAATAGAGGTGCTTCAGTTAAGCACCTAAAATTAAATGGGACGAATTTGAGACCTATGACGTTTAACCTGAGTGTTGTGTTTGTTTTGCAGGATATTGATTACCTGATTGTTTATCCTTTAAAGCTGTTTTACACATCTCAATGCGAGCAGAGTGATAAGGAACGTAACGATCCTGCAGAGATCCTACTAAGACGATGTTTCTGAAGTAATGAAGACCTATAGGAGAGGAGAAAAAGGCATCTATTATAATGAATCCCTTGACAATCACTACAGAACAATTAAACATTTTACAATTGAAATTTGGCACCCGTTTATTACAACATCTTGCACAAAAATGAAGAAAAATGAACCACAAATAGGTAGAGCTACAGAATGAAGTGATGCTGGGTACCAGCCTTTCCTCAGTACATATTTTAATACTTTTAGGTGTGACCCAAACTGTGTTGTTTCTCACCTACACGGAGCATGGTTCAACCCTTTGTTACGCATGTTTAATTAATGTCTAGCGTCAATAAGTACACAATAGAGACCACCTAGTGTAGGTGCTTCTGTTAGGCACTGCCTCACCAGAAGGTCTGGCTAGCTCGAGCTCAGGCACTGGGTCCACTCATAGCACCTCCCCAAACAGAATTAAAGCCAGATGTCCTACTTCTTGGATGAGCACTGTAACAGTAAGATGAGGTAAAGGTAGGAACCTCTAATAATGATGAGACTGACAGTCCTTAAGACATCTAATTGTTGTGTTTTCTCTAAAAAGCTTCAGCATATTTCTGCTGCTGTCCATCTGCTTTAGGCCAAATCCAAAAGAGCATTTTAGGAAAAGAGGCTGCCTTAGAACTTTGCCCTTCTGAATATTAGGGTCATCTACAGTTAAACACAAAGGCAAAACCAGTTTAGGTGTATGTAAAGGTATGAAAAGCAGCTGAATGGTTCTCTGGGAATCTCTTACTTCTTTGGTGCTTGCATCTCATCATTGGCAGATTTGATCTAACTCTCTCTGTGCTGGTGCTAATGAGTTTTGCACTGGTGCTGTTAGCCTGACTTTTAATTTCTGGAGAATAATGGTCAGATCCTGTAACCGGTAAGTTTTTGATTTATGAAATATACTTAGGCCCTTCTGAGCATTATAGGAATACTATAGGTAAGTCATTCTTCAAAGGTGTTTCTTGGAATCTGCAGCAAACATTTTCTGGGTCAACCTCTACAAATCCAATTTTTCTTTCATTAAAAAAAGCAATCTGATTGTGTAGGAAATATTTCCTATCTGCTTTTCAGAAGCTATACTGCCAGGACCAAGTTCTAGATTCTATTTTCCCCGGTTTGTTCAGCCTGAATACATACTAAGTATGAACACATACTAAGTATTAATACATACCCGTTCCTAAAGCCATCAGTGGAGCCCAAAGAGAAAAATCTTTCCTTTTTTCAGAAGTTGTTCCCTAATTTTCAATATTTTGTAAACTCCCTGTGATTAAGACTGTATCTGCCAACCAAGTCAGTTACAGAAACAATGCTGAACTTCAGTGTATGAAACAGTACAGGAATCTCCCCAGATTTCACAGAAAATTGAAAAAAATAAGTAAATTCTGTAAATCTATAAAAACATAGAGAAAATGCATCCAAACTAGATCCTGGTTCCTCTTCAAATGCAGGAAATCCATTTGTTGGGTTTTTTTTTTTGCCTGTGCCTACTGAAAAACAACACTGTCTCAAAAGATCAGCTAAATCACCAGAGTCTTTTACTTGATATCTGATGAAAAATGACTGCAGTAAATCCTACACAAAGATGCAGATGCCAGCTCCAAAACTTTATACTGAGTTTAAAAGAATGCAGTTGGAATATATCAAGGATAGGAATTGTCTGCAGACTAATCTGTAATAGTTTCGTAAATTCCTCAGGACTCTGCCCATCTTGTACTAAGTTTTTTTTGATACTTGCTCTCCCTAGAGAAAGCAGACTGCCTAGATCTTTTAATCAACCTGAAGAAGGAAGAGTATCCTGGAGAATCTTTAAAGGAACATCAGTTTACATCAATCAACATTTAAAATAGACTCTCCTCATCCTCACAAGTGATATAAGACAAAAAGAACCACACCACTAATCTGAAACCAAACACAGGACACCCCAGTCTCATAAATTAGGCATCCTCTTTCACTCACAGTGACTCATGTTTAGTGCTTTATATTCTCGGGCTTCCCTTCATTTTAGACATAATAACCATTAGTAATCTTTTACAAAAAAACATTTGAGGGAAATCTTCAGTGGGAGCAGAGAAGGCATACAGGATATTTCATTAGCATGTGTTTTACTGTTTAAGTGTGCTTGGGTGTTTTTTCTTTGGATACCTCTTTGTTCCTATTTTGAATAAAAAAGTTCAAGTCTTCCGTCAAGAAGCTGTTTGACGTGGTTCATGTGAGACGTGGTTCATACGACTATATGGATGGAAAAGAGGAGTCACAATGTGTATGTATGCAAACGTACAGAACCCAGCAACCCCTTGGACTTCTACAACCTGGGGTAACTCAACCCATTTGTCAACGAGAAGGAACCACATGGTGTTCAAGAGCACCCTTCCTGCTCTCCACACAGGCTGTGGGACTATTCAGGACGTAGACACAGAATCATCTCTCATATGGAAGTGTGCAGTGCTAAACCATGCCTTAAATTAAGTGTACTTGTGGACAAGACGCAACTTATCACAATCTTTCATTTATGTAGCAGTAAAAAATGGCCCACCAGTCATCTTTACACGTTGTTCTTTCACTTACTTCCTAGACGTTAGATATTTCTTCCCTGAATTAAATTAAAAATTAATGAATAAATTGTGAACAAGAATACAGCTAATTCCTATGATCCACATCTTTATTTTCCCACAATGCATATAACACAAGATCTGTCTCATGTACTGTATTAAAAACAAAATGCCAAACTTAAAAATATTCTAAGTAACTAATGAACCGTTTTTTCTTGTGCAGCAAAATTTTCTTCTGCTGAATTAAGAAACCAACCCCAAAATCTAATTAGGCCAACATTTCCAGATTGCTGCAGTTACAGGAAAATGCTAGAAGATTAAAAGCTAATTCTATCAGAACTTTTTAAAAACACTTGAACTCATCACATTATCCACTGAATAGATCACACATTTTTTGCAGAATACCATAAAAAAACTTGAGGTTTGTCACTAACTAGAAAGTATTGACAAAATTTTTCAACAGGATTTGAGAGAGCTTGGAAAAGAACAACCCAAGTGAAAGATCACTGCTGAAATAACAAGTTTTGTCCCCATGTAACAGAATGTTCTTTCCTGTAATAAGGAACCTTTAGTGGGCTTTCCAAATTTTTATCAATCTCAGTTAAAGTGAATTTAAGCATACACAGCTAGCACAATTTCTGTAATTCTTAACCTTCATGCCATTCCTGCCTGTCAGTGCATTAGTCATTATTAAACTAATGAGATGTATATAAATTCATGAACCATTTTTCCAAGTGGAAAAACCTGTCTGGAACAGCAGTTATAAAGACCTGGTAACTCATAAGTTATCACATAATACAAGTCAATCACATAGGAATACATTTTTGTGTATGTTCAGGCACGAGAAGCAGAGGTTAAGTCTGCCCTCTAGCTACAGTCAACATCCAAGCAGGGAATGGGAGACGGAGCCACAGGTTCAATGGGCTGCTGATTCTCTGTGAGACTTGCATGACAAAAGGTGTGACAGAATTCCATACCACCACCCTTTAATTAATTCAAAACAAGGCTTCAATTATTTGCAATGGGAAATATTCACTGTGGATACCACAGATTTCTTGAGCATAATAAAATAACAATCACTTACGATAAGCCCAAAAAAAAGTAAAAAAAAAAATTCAACAATCTGATTGCATTAAGTAAGCTGCCATTTTTCTTAGGCATATACTAATCACAGAATCCTATAATAGAGTAATTTATGTTGGACAGGACCTTCGGAGATCATTTGATCCTACCCACATGCCCAAAGTCAGGGGGAACTGATGTTAGATCACGTAGCTCAGGGTCATATCTGGTTGCTTTGCCGCAAAGAAAATGTCTCAAGTTTTGTCCAGGTATAACACTCCCAAAGTCTTCTATGATTCTGTCCATTTACTTTACTTGTTTGGAAATTGTGATCTGGAATCTCTGCCATAAATGAAGTCTGGAAATACGGACTTCAAAAATTATGCCTTGGCAGGCAGCCACCTCCCACAGTTGGTCTTCCTTGTTGCTTTCTGAAGTCAATGTATCACACATACAGCTAGAGTCACATCCCAAAAATTAAAGTGTTAAGATCCTGAGTCAACTGAGGTCTCGGATTAAGATGCCACGATACAGATGCAAGGAAACTCAGACCTTCAGCTGCAGCCTCACAAGACTGATCAGGGAGCAAGGTTTACACCAACTCAAAGAGTTTCATGTCAGCTCCAAGTCTGCTTTGAAGATTTGACCTTAAAGAACTTGGCTGCAGATGCTATAGAACCTACCAGATTCTTCTAATGTTGTTGGAACAGAGCTAGAGGCTTGGGCAGTCCTCCCTTTTAGCTGAACTGATTAGGCACTACCAACAGGGATGCCATTTCAATTCTAGTCTCACCCTCATCATGACTTGAGGCACTCCCCCAACTCAAGAGCTGAAATGCCTTTTCCCTCTGCAAAGCTGAACAGCCCCAAGTAAGCTAAGCTGACATCCTGTATATAACAGACATCTCAAAAAAGCAACCAGGTCAACCATGCTGATCTGTCGTTAACGTGGATGTAAATGAAAACCAAGCCAAACATCTTTTCCTCCTCTCAAGAGATCAGGCGAATGCACATTTTTAAAGGGGGAGATAAGGCAATAAACAAGCACTTGAGAATTCCACTGTTCAAGACCTGTGGAAGTGTTAAGACATATGAATCTAAGCCTACATACATAAGTACGAAAACATCCTGGAAATGACTGTGGCTGTACATTTGTATTTGTGAACTCTGGCGTAAGAGGAACAGAGCTGCAGAGCAAAACTACTGGCGTGAAGAATCCTTCATCCATCAAAATGTCCATTTTGAGGAGAGTTTGCTCTGGACTAGCTCTCCTCTAGTCCTGTGGATGCAGCACGCCTTGGCTGCTGAAGCTGATTCACTGCGTTTGGAAGCAAACAGAGATAATGAAGAGATTTGCTTCTGAATGCATTCCTGAGTGCTAACATGGGCATATTCTATGGC